AATTTATATAAGTTTTATGTTAAAATTGGCCGATGAAGAAATTATCGTCGATTTCTAAGGCCTCCTATGTTAATAAGACGGGTTTTTATTTTTAAGTTAGTATTTGATTCATTTATTTTTATTCATATATATTTAGTACTAACATTTTTACTAAGTGTCTTTACAGGTATTCCGAAGTCACTTCTCATCGAAGCCATTTGAATAAAGTTCGAATACTATATTCATTATTATGTATTTGTTGACGTTAGACAAATATAAGGTCATTTCTCATATTACTTGTTTACTTTTTTTATTTGTGTATATTGCATGTTTGTTATATTTTGTATACTATTTTTATCTCCTCCTCAATTTGAAAAAAAGGAATTCAATCGGGATCCACATTTGTGAATTTCGAAGGATGCCTAACCCCTTCCCTTCGGAATAACTTGAATATCTTACTTAGAATCTCTTGGTTTCGTAGATCATTTAATTGGTTTCCTAGTTTTTCCTAAAATTAGGTGGCGACTCCTTTAAAATTCTTATTTTCTTAAAATTCTTTTAAAATTGAATCAATTGATTACTTATTGAGTCACCACGACGTTTCGCCCTATTCGAATAAAGTATGGATGTAAACAACTACCATATCTATCAATTTATAATAAATTAGGTGGCTCATAACCTATCAAATTAAAGGTCTTCGGAAGATTTATTTGCGAAATCTTTATGGAACCCTTCATAGAGAGTTGGCGGAGCAGTAAGTACCGTCTCACAATATTTAGAGTCAATTTGGACATTTAGGAGCCAATTTATAGAAATTATGCGATTTTCTCAGTTTTTTGTGGGTGTTAGCCATGAATATTTTGGTGATAGAATTTTCGGACGATATCTTTGCGAAACCTTTACGAAACCATCCATAGGGAGTTAGGGAGCAGTACATACAGTCTTACAATTTTTAGAGTCCATTTTGAGCATTTAGGTATGAGCCAATTTACAGGAATTAGACGATTTTGTTAGTTTTTCGTATGTGTAGCCCATTAATGGTGATATGACTTTCGAACGATTTCTTTGTGAAACTTTTACATAAATCTCCGTAGGGAGTTGAGGGAGAAATACCTACAGTCTCACAATTTTTAGAGTCCATTTTGGGCATTTAGGGGCCAATTTATCGAAATTGGGCGATTTTTTTAATTTTTCGTGTGTGTTAGCCCATGAATATTATGGTGATATGACTTTTGGATGATTTATTTGGGAAAACTTTACGAAACCCTATGTAGAGAGTTGGAGGAGCAATACGAATAGTCTCACAATTTTTATAGTCCAGTTTGGACATTTAGGGGTCAATTTACAGAAGTTAGACAATTTTTCAGTTTTTTTGTGTGTGTTAGCCCATAAATATTTTGGTGATATGATTTTCAGACGGTTTCTTTGTGAAACCTTTACGAAACCCTCCATATGGAGTTGGGGGAGCAATACGTATACTTTCACAATTTTTATAGTCTAGTTTGGGCATTTAGGGGACAATTTACATAAATTAGGCAACTTATCAAAAAAAAATTGTGTGTGTTAGCCCATGAATATTTTGGTGATATGTCTTCCAGACAATTTCTTTGTGAAATTTTTATGGAACCCTCTGCAAGGAGTTGGGGGAGCAGTACATACAATTTTTAGTCCTTTCCCACCCTTTCTAAACCTATACCTCAACGTTTTTACACCTAATTAAGGTCACAAGAAACCCCTAGGACAAAGTTGAGTTGAAAGCTTCTTTACCAATTAAATTTTAAGATGAGATTATACTTAGGTAAACTTCAAACGATCATATATTTCAGCATATAATGAATTATGTGGCTCATCATGACCTATCAAATTAAAGGTCTATGTGTCCTCTTTCCAACTTCACTTAGTTTGTCTCATTTCGAGTTTGGAATAAGAAGTTATATCTAATTTAGTGAAGCTCTGTCAGGCAGTCGATGTTCTATATTGGACCTACAGACGATGGAAATTTCCACGAACCGTAGACTCTTCCGTGAAGGCTTGCTGCAATTTTTGTTTCAGCAACTTTATGCATGCGTTCTAGAGTTATTTTGGTCATTTCCCAAGCTTTTTAACTCTATTGTAAGTCGGTTTTCTGTGTTTTAATTGAGTATATCATTCAACTAAGTGGTTTTCCTCTCAAAATCATCAATCTAAGCATTCAAGTATTTAGAAATTTTCTTCAAACTCACCTAGGTTTCCTCTTCTCCACCAAGAACCCTAAAACCTTCAAGTCAAAAAATTCAAGATACAAAGAGAAACTTTACATCCAAAGGTTTTCCCAAGTTCTTCACTAAAATCATCAATATAAACATTCAAGTATTTAGAAATTCTCTTAAAACTCACCTAAGTTTCCTCTTCTCCATCAAGAACCCTTAAACCTTCAAATCAAAAATTCAAGATACAAAGAGAAACTTTTCATCCAAGGTTTGCCCGAGTTCTCACCTCTAAAACTTCATAAAAGAGCTCTTCTCTCAAGATCAAGCCCCAAGATTCCAAGCTCAAAGATTTTCATCAAGTACAATAACACACGTAAAACGGTAAATTCAGTGCTCTGGGATCGTTTGAACTTGAAAATGCGTTCTTTTGCCCCTCAGAACAAACTCACGCCATTAATAAGGTCGTAACGGACGCCTGCAAAATTTTCGGCCAAAAACATGTCGCAATCACGTATCACCCAAAATCAATGGACTATAGCATACATAAAACGGTAAATTCGATCTTTTCCGCTCTGTGGCTCGTTTGAACTTGAAAATGTGTATGTTTGCCCCTCGGGATCAACTCACACCATTAATAAATTTGTAATGGATGCCCACAAAATATTTCGGCCAAAAACCTATTGGGATCACGTATCATCCAAAATTCATGGACTATAGCACACGTAAAATGGTAAAATTGGTTTTTCTCGCTCTAGGGCTCGTTTGAACTTTAAAATGCATTTGTTTTCCCCTCGAGACCAACTCATGCCATTAATAAGGTCATATATAAAAAAAAATTGGCCAAAACCTATTGGGATCACGTATCACCCAAAATCCATGGACTATAACACAAGTAAAGTAAAATCAGTCTTTCCCGCCTGGGGCTTGTTTGAACTAGAAAATGCGTCTATTTGCCACTTGGGACCAACTCACACTATTAATAAGATAGTTACGGACACCCACAAAAATATCAGCCAAAAATCCATTGGGATCACGTATCACCCAAAATCTATGGACTATAGCACATATAAAATGGTAAATTCGGTCTTTTGCTCTCTGAGACTCATTTGAATGTGAAATATTCTCCGACAGAATATGATATCTCTTAAAAAAGGGTTCCGCCTTTATAATTGTGGAAATTTCATTAGAATACATCAAGACAAGAAGATACCAATTCGTGAGTGTTTATATAAATTAAGAAAGGTCCAAGAAATTATTTAATTTTTTTATATATTTTATTTTCATAAATTTTAAAAATATATTGTAATTGATTATAATTTAATAATTAATTTTTCTTTTTGAATTGAAAGTATAACATTTCTTATAATATTTTGTAAGACAAGAATAAACATATATAAATTATTGTACATTACGTAACAACATTAATGTTTAAATCTCTCTTATTGATTATAATTTTGGAAACTTTTTTTAACCTAATCAATTATTACATGAACTATCAAAATAATTCTAAAATTGTTTAAAAATAAAATTAAGACTTCACTTTAATGAATATGCCAATTAGAGTATCATTTGTACTGATATAGTAATATTTCACAATACTTTTAAGTACAAAAATCAGTATTTTATTGATTACAAGACATTCAAGGTTAAGACAATATTTTTTAAATTTAATTATTTGATAATCTAATTAGTTTGAGCTTAAAATGTTTAATAAAACATCTCAAAGAATTCAAGACAATTTTACAAAACCAATATTAAAACATGGTTGATTCAAATTAAAGTGAAATAGACAAATTAAGAAATCAAAAGTAATAGTCTACGATTTTTAATTACAATAGCATCAATAATGACATTTCAAAGATATGTGCATAATAATTAGTAAGAGATTATCAACAAACTATTAATAAATTTTTTTTAATTAATAGTAACAATAAATACATAATTTTTATTTAATTAAGTATTTTATGTTATTTTAAAGAGTCATCACCTAATTACATTTTAAAGGTGAATTAGGACACCTAAATCTAATTATGTAATACTAAAATTAACTCAAATTAATGATCTACTTAACTTATGTGATTCTAGGTAAGGGCTCTAAATTATCCAAGGTGTTAAGCATCCTTTAAGTTTCGTTAAATACGATTACCGATCAAACTTTGATTAAATATGTGCCAAATTAAAAAATATGTTTATGTCTTACTCCTTAAAAAATCATTATGTTGCTCGTATGCTTCAAAAATATCATATGGTGTGTCGGATCTTCCATAAACCATGCACTTTTGGAAGATGTATACTGGTATGGCTTCATTTCTCAAAGATCCGTTCAGCATAAATTATAGATTTGTTATTATTTTAATTAAGTTATTGGTTAATATTTATTATAAAAATTTACTTACAATTATATTATATATTATATTACAACTGTTTCAGCTGTATGAATTTATTTTTTTATTAAGTAAATTATTGATGCATAAAATTATGTTCTAAGCAAAGAGCAGAGCTAGATTTTGAGGTTTGTGGGTTTGGAATTTTAATTATTTTGAGCTATTGAGTTTTAAATTAATAATTTATACACTTGTAATGAATTTCTTATTACAAATTTAGAGTTTGAACTAAAAAAATTACTAAACTCAACTGAACTCAGAACCAACATACCAGCTTATCCCCTAACTAGAAAAATTAATGGTGGAGGGGAATTAAGATGTCCCTTTGTCAGTTTGACAAATGGGTCCATGTATTTTCATTTGTCAATCAAATAATGTCTCACACAAGTATGACCAGTTATTTCCATTTCTTACCCAAGTAACTTCTATTTTGTAAGAGTTCAATTAATTAAAGTGGGAGAGAAGAATACTAACACAAGAAAAGCATATATACACTAAATTGTCAACACATTTATTTTACATGTTAAGACACTTTTTGATTGATCCTCAAGTTCAATAATTTATGCAATATAGAAGGTGACATAGCCACTACTTTTTGGTTATGTTCCTTTGCATGAAGCTCAGCATGAAGCCTGCAAAGGGCTGCACCTGCAACTTTCCATGCAAAACCACACTTTCTGATGTCGCCTATAGCTTTCGCGTAATCATAAGTCACGCGATAAATAGCAAGTGCATCGTTATATATGTCCGTTGTACTCCTTGTGCTCTCCTCCATATCCGGTGCTTCATATAACAGCTGCATGAAAATTTGAAAAATCAAGGGAGAGAAATGAACACTCATGGTGGCTTTTGGATTAAGAAAATCTATTACATGGATGAATCGTGGGAAAGGAAGGAGGAATGGGATCGGTGAGGATTGAACCACGATTATTGTGTTGTAAACTCCCACTGATACAACTAATTGTGGTGCTCATGTTTGGTTTCTTACAAGGGAAAACGTCCAAATTTACCCATACCCTCATCTAATACTTCAAGTCTTGCCATTAACGGAGCTCCAAATTGAACTGAGTTATCCTCAATTAAACTTAAGGATCCATGCTAGAGCTCTGCTGGGCCAAGGGTAAATATGAAACAATTTGCTAACAAGGGTATGAATAACCCCAAAGTATAACAAAAGGTAACATTAAGATATTCATTGGTATTTTTCACCTTTTCACCGTCTTAAAATGACTGTTGAACGTTAAATATCGACCTTCAGACCTAATTCAACCCTAAAAGCTAACTTATCAGGTGGGCCGATGTGGGACTCAACAAAGAAATTTCTCAAAGGTTGATAAAAGAAAGGTTTTACCTGTTTGTACTTTTTAATAACCTGGTCAGCTAAGTCATTTTTCGATTCATTGCTGGTGTTCAGTGCTTCCTTCATCTCAAATCTGTAATTTCTGTACCTTTCCTCCCATAACCTCAAACATGTCTCAGGGATTCCAACCTCAAAAGCCGAAAGTTTCTTAATTTCTGGACATACAAAATACGATATATGTCAAATGCACAACCAGTAAGCAATTGCAATATTCAATCAGTAATGGATCAAACACTTGCCTACAGCAGCTGGTTCTTCAGCTTTAAATTTCTCAACCCGGTCATAAATTTCTCCTAAGACAGAGGTAGAGTGATAACTTTCTTTCTTTTGCAAGAAATGCGGAAACTTGTCTACTTTCAACCTCTTTGGGATGTAGACCTGTGGATAGAAGCAAGAGCAGTAAGACAAGAATTTGATAACTCAACAACATTAAAAACATTAACAAAAACATATTGAGAAAGACCAAAAACACAGCTAAAGTATCCTGGTTTTTCGAGTTTCCTACTTTATAGTTCAGGTTTGGAACTCGAAAAACGGGATACTTTAGGTGTGTTTTTGACCATTAACTCAAAAATGTTCAATCAATATCAACTCTAGCTTTGGAAGTAAGAGTAGATTGTCAAATCGCTTATGGACTAGAAGTGCATATTTTTCTTCAAAACATGTATAGTGAATCTGAAGTATTCAGGCAAGAGGCATCAAACTAATAGAAAAGATTTAGGGAACAGAACAGTAGAAAACATTCACTCAAGTATATGATTGTCACAATAAGGGCTATCAAACAGAGATTAGGCTAAAGAAAGTAACCTTATTCCCACTTTTTGGGGCGTCTATAGCGTCATAATACAAATCAATCAACTCGAACAATTTTTCTTTCACGGACTTTGTCTCTTCATTCTCTGTGGTGTTATTTTTCCCCAATATAAGAAGTCTATCCATGAGTGCATACCAGTTAGCAGAAGCATCAGCCATGCTATAGCTGAAAGAGTAAACCAAGTGAATAAAAGCGAAACATGAGCATTCGTTTTAAAGCAGTAAAAGCCAGAGGTGGATGGAGAGTAGAAGTAAAGGGTACAACTGAACCCAGTACTTTTGACACAGAATATAAATATATATGTAAGAATCACTAAAAAAATTCCAAATAGTAACTATGAAACCATAATTTTAGAAATGCAATGGGTTCAATGGTAAGAATTCAAATGTTGAACCCATTAAATGTAAATCCTGGATCCGCTCAGCGATAAATGAGCATTTAATTCTGGATCAGGATCTATAGATATAACAGAAAGCTTAACCAGGTTAAATTAAAATAACTTATCAAAAAGATCGTGCCTTTCAGAAAAGATTTTCCAGTCATCCGATGCTCATTAGCTCGGGGACTTCCCGACTCCCAAGGATGAGCAACTTTTACCATTCAGATATACAGGAACTGTATGTTGCACTCTTCACCGAAGAGACATGTTTCAGACAATATCAAAGAGACTATTCTAACTTTGAAAGGCAAAAAAGGGCATTCTATACATACTTTGGCATCCTAGTTTCTAGAAATGTCTGAAAGAGTTCATGCTCCCTTTCCTCCGCAGAGAAGTTGTTGGGCTCCCTATGCAATGTCTTTGGTGTTGAATGGATTCGGCTCCACGGTCTACTTGCAGTGAAATATTTTAACAGCTGAAGCATAAAACATAACATGCGCAAATTGGACGGAACTCATTCAGTATTTTCATTCATTCAAGAAATGAAATGATATAACAATATGTTCTTTTTTCTATTCATTTATTGATTTTTCATTGTCATTACTAGATGGGCATGTAGGGTGCAAATGGAGGACCCAATCTGAGGTAGTTCAATCAAATCATTAAGCAAAGAAATTAGAACAATTAGCCAGTAGTAGAGATAAAGTTGACCTGGGGGTTTTGAGAGACCCAATATTTATCTCCATCAAAATCACCATTAGCAATTTCAGTGGCCGCTGATCTTGGACCTTTTGTGGAGAAAAATATTCCATATTTAGCATTTCCAACTATGTCTCCGAGGTTCTTCACAGGGACAGCAAGTAGTCTATGGATATCACCAAAATGAAGTCCAGGATTCCTGTATACTAGTACCTCTCCAAATATTTGCCCATGTTCACTGCATAAAATGTCGTAGTTTTACTTTGTAAATTTCCAGCTAAAAATACAGGCTCTGCAACCTTGTCATTAGACTAATGAGCAAATGTGCAACGATGAGATAGATTCTAACAATCAATGGGTAAGTTGATGATGAGTGCATCGATGAGATAGATTCTAACAATCAGCTTTCACCAAACTACTTCAGAGTCATACTGATTTTCCACAGAGGAATATCTTTTTTAAGATAGAAAGCCGAATGGCTTAATACATAACCTGCCCCTTAAACTTGTCCGGATATTCCATTTAGACTCTCGAACTAAGCCTTGTTTCAATTAAACATCTCAATAGAGTGTTCCAATTAGACACTTTCATTCAATTTTTTGAATTTTTTGTGTGTTCTCATTCATCCATTAGATAGTCACATAAAATATGTCATTTCCTTTAATTATACACATTTGCCTAAATAGGCCATAAAATCCAAGGAATTTTTTACTTGAGGTTGATGCGTATAATTAAAGGATACGACATATTTTATGTGGTTAACTAAACTATCTAATAGACAAATGAAAACACGTGCAAACGCTTTTTCAAAATTTCAATCTCAAGTGTCTAACTGAAACACTTGATTAGAAGTTGACAACGTCATAACAAAAAAGTTTTTTTTGGTGAGTCGTCAGGATTGGACGAAAAGGATCATATAAGATATATATAAACAGTATACTTACAGAATAACACAAACTTCATGGGGATTTAAAGTATCAGTGGGATCAGCTGTCCCCATTAGATAGAAAGTATCAGCAATAGGAAGTCTTCCTCCTTTGAGCCCATTTCTTTCTTCCTTTGCCAGGGAAGATAAACAACACCAAAGATATGGTTCAGTGAGAGGTACTCCAGCCATTATCATACTTGTGGCAGTAGAGGCATCATCACGATCTCTATGGTTTACCGCAACTGCATGGAGACAACCAGTAAAACAAAAAAGTAAGGGTCTGATTTGGTAAAGCATTCAACAGAGACTTGGAACAGAGTAGTGCATATTAAGATCAATGCAGGTAAATGAATGCTTTCACTACAACTTCAGTACCAAATCTGCAAAGATGGCATCAGAAGGTATATAAGAAGTGATTTGGTTTTAGGCTATGTTGCTCGAGTTCTCACACAATGTCGGAGGGTGTATGCCAAATCCTCCAAAAGTAATGCATTTTGGAGATCAGACATCGGGTCAACGGCACTTTTGGAGGATCCGAGCAACATAGTTTCTACTTTCTAGGATTTTTTAGAAAATTGGTAACGGCACCAGATTGTTAATTGTTCATATAAACATGTGATGCTTTCAAGAGATTATTTGAAATTTTGAGAACAAAAATGTCACCACATGCTGAAATATAATCCAGATTGCACACAAGTTTAAAGTTGTCGCGTAACAACATCTGAAGGTCAACATTTCTCCATGTACATGCTAGATTACAAACCATAAACAGCTGGCAGAGAAACTTGGTTTTATTATCATTTTTTCTAAAACTAGAATTACCTTTTAGTGCTGTCACCTCATCTGAGTATAACCTTTGTGTCTCCTCCAAAGTATTATTGAGTATATCATAGAAATACTCCACGGGAACACCTCCATAGGTCAGCAGAGCAATAAGAGTTCTTGATAGATAAGTATTCCTAGGTTTAAGACTGAAAGAAGAACATAAGAGGTGTCAGTTGCAGCAGTTGATAGATATATACCTGAAATGACTGTAAGTACAGAAAATTCTGTAATACAAAGATAGCATGGAAGAATTCTTTTTAAAAAACAATCATTGAAAGGGAGATATGTCCATTTTTAGAGCCAGTTGTAATAGGCAAGTTGATCCTTCAATCTCCATCAAAAAATCCTAGTGGTAAACCTTGTTTTACTTTTCTTTTTTATTAGGAAACCTTTTTGCTCTTTTAATACTACAAAAATCTCACAAAATAATTCACCTCCCTCACTTGGGATCCTACTGCAACGGGTACGACAAATTGGTCCCCTAAGCAATAAAAATACAGACTCGATTTCTGTCAGTAATATTGTGGTTCTTCCAACATAGTCTTTCCTAACTGTTACTTACTAACTACTGAAATGCATAATAACATATTTTCCCTCATATATGCACATGTACTTGCAGCTCTTAGTGTTTAAAAAAAATAGGCTTTACTACAATATTTCTAAAATAAGACAGGAAGGGTCATGAAAGTAACATTTCAAATTTCATGGTCAAAAGAAGATCCCTACAATGAACTTTTTATCTTTCTATTAACAGAAATATTGAATTAACTAAAAAGTACCAAATACCTGAGTGTATTTATTTCCAACGAGTTAAACATTTGAGCTCTTGACAATCTTGGATCTGCCTCGACCTTGATCATTGAGGGCCTAATCTGAATTGTGCGTCGTGGCAGCTAATATTTAAGAACAGAACATTGTATCCATTAGGAAGTTGACTTAGAGAGCAGAGAAATTAAGGGGCATTTAAGATAAGGCTGCTTCAATAAGGCCATCGCACAGAAGTATGCAATTAAGTTTAAGATATTAGGCAAAGCCATTTCAGGTGGAGCAGACTATGGTTTTAGTACCTTTCTATTGACTAGAAGGGTTCCCTTTACAGCAAGACCATTGTAGAATAGACGGCACTGCATCAACAGAGGCTAAACAGACAGAGAAGAATGAAAACTAATCAGCTAAAACCAACCTGACCATGTTAAATGATAAAAAACTGCTAATTGCAGCGGTCTGGGATTCCAAATCAATTGTGGTAAACATCAAAAACATTTACCGGTTCCCCACTCTGAAATTCCGCCTCTCCCAACTCAGATGAATTCTCCCCAAGTTTGACACCATTGGTATATCTCTGAAATGGTTGGTTAAAAATTTAATGGGAGGTTCTTCAAGAGAGATGAAAGGAAACAGATACAAAGAACTGAACAATGAATCTGTCAGATACTTTTAATGAATACAAGCATGCAAGAGACAATTTCTTGTGCACCGTCTAGTGCCTACAACCAAAGAAAATCAAGGAAATAAGAGAATTCAAATGAATTTAGAAAAAATAAATATATGAACTAAGAATATATTCTTCCAATTTCTGCAACTCCCTCCGTTTCAATTTGTTTGTTTGGTTTTGACTTGGCACGGAGTTTAAAAAAGTAAAGAAGACTTTGGAATCTTGTGATCTTAAACTAAAGATATGTAGAATGCACTAAAATGCCCTTAATCTTATGGTCTTAAGCATGCCATGTGGAAAATTGGAATTAAAGAGTTGAAAAAAGGAAAGAGGCCTTTTTTTTAACGGACTAAAAAGGAAAGTAAGACAAACAAATTGAAACGGTGAGAAAACTATATTTCATCTGCTTGCCTGATCGAGAAGCTAGCTACTGGTCCTCAAATGTTTATGTTATTTAATTTCTCTAAGAACTTTGCAGTTGAACTCACAAAAAATTTGATAGGTATTTCCAATGGCTACATGACCAAATGCTGGAACAGCAAAGATATGGGAAGTTCAACAAGAAATCACTGTTTGATTTTTTAAAGATTATTGATTCCCTCACTTAAGAATTATACTTTCTTTTATGACCTTGAGACCTTCAAGGATTTGCTTTAATTTTATTGACGTTTATGCAGTGGCTTCTGCCCAGAGATGTGAACTTGGATACTTCAAGTCGGATAAGGATGTAAAATGCCTCATTATGGACTGCATGGTTAATGAGATAAATTAGAAGGATTGCGTCTTTATTCCTCAGATGAACAGCCACTGGAATTATATCCGAACATACGACAAATTTTGGAATAAAGCCAAATTATGTGCTTCTTGGGCCTCTATTCTTGAAAAGAGAGCACCTACTTCATTGATTAGGTTTACTGGTTCTTAATGCAATACAAAAGCATAATCAACCTCAAGAAAATGCTTAGTGATTTAGGTTTAATCAGATTACCTCTAAGTTGGCACACTTATGCTTCACATTGAAAAAATCTTGCGGACACTTTCTTGCCAAGTCTTCTGAAATATATCCAGTCCCATCTGTGTGTATAAGTGGTTTCCCATCTTCATCATAGATAATTCGTCCACTCTTATCCTACATTTTTTTTCCAAAGGAGGAGGCAATTAAATGATAAAGAGAAGTCATTACCTTGAGACCGTGGAAAGAGAAACTAAAAAGAGATGGTATATACATGGAGAAAGAAACTGCAAAGAGTATGCATGATTATATATACACAGATTATATGTTCGATAAGTAATATACATGACAACATATATCTTCAATTCTGTCAATATTCACTGAATTCAGATCAACTTGAAGCTTTACTGTCGTGGATAAAATTAGGGAGAACCTGCATTATCAGAGTAACTATGCAGTTCAGAAAGAAAGACAGCAAGTATGCAATAAATATTAAAAAGTTAAAAGAGTCCGGGAAATAGCAAACCTGGCCATGTATTTAGCCATGCTAGAGACCATGTGTACATGCATGAAATTGCACCTTGCTTCATGGACCATCTTGTCACGCAAAATGTAAGTTTCTTTTTCATAAGGATTAAGAGATTCCATTCGAACAAAGTAGCATTTGACAGAATCGATCTTTTCCTCTTTGTCCTTTGAACTTCTCTTCTTCCCGTCATCCTTATAAACTGTTCAAATACCACAATGACACAAAACCTCATTGGCATCAAACACTTGAAAACAGAACCTCTCAGGTACTTCCACCCCTGATTTTGAGTACAATAATGAGAATGACGCTTCTATTTATTGGTAACATGAGAAGTTTCATCAAACAGCTACTTGGGAAAACAGAAGATCCACATTGACACAGGCCAAAAGAAGGCCATAAGACGGGAAATTCTTTTAATTACAAGTTGTTGTAGGTAATAAGCAAAATATTTGCCCTCTAAGTACAGTAGTTTCATGTTATAGAAGACCATCAGACTTGAATGGGAGCAACTGTTGGGGCTTACGCCCAATATATCTATGATGTAGCGACACATATGTTAGATGAATCTACTATCATTCAAGAACAGACAAGATTATATATGTTCTTATATTTGTGTTAAAAGAAATATCAGCAGCACTCAAGCTCAACAATAAATGGACTTGGCCACATGCATTCCAAAATAAAATTCATAAAATGCACAGTCCATCGGCAAAACTATCTAAAATTACAGAAAGAAAGACAAATTCTGAATTTCTTCTTATATTTCCAAGATAAGATAGGAATTTTGAAATACTTTGGCGACATATGTATAAGGTAATTACCAAAAAAGCGATAGCGCCTCAAACCAACAAGAATTCCATTCTGAACAATCTCTTCTGGACACCCTGGGGTATTTTGCTCAAACTTGACGATCAATACATTCTCATCTCCTAATGACTGTTGCAGATGGGTTCTTTCTGCTTTCAGGTAAGGACCCTGAGGAGGAGGGAAATAAAACAAGTCAAGAAATGGATATTAATGCTTAGGGTAACGTGATGAACTGTCCAAAGTGAATGAATGCTGCCCACTCCTTAATTAATATAGGCATTACAGTTATTTCTTTCGGGCTCTTGTATCAGTATCAGGAGACGGCAAGCTTCAGTAGTTCTATATTCAACTTTTGATGCCTAAAAAGCTAAAGTGAATCATTCGCAGCCTAGTGCTACACAAATCAAATATTTACATGATACAATATTTACTGGAGTCTGAAATCTTGTTCAGCCAATTCAAGCACGGGAATAACTTACAAAACACTTTAAAGGCTAAAGGAGTTATCTTGAATAATTTTTAATCACAAAAAGTTTTGAACCACAAGAATAACAGACCTTAAAAGTATAGCTTCCATCCGAATGGACATGGCAATGATAAAGATGAGTCCTTCCTGAATCCCAATCAAGATACTGAAAGACACCGATACAAGGCAGTTGTTGGATTAATAGTTCAATAGTTAAAACTTAAGAGACTATTATGTGAGTACCTAGACCAAGGTATTACTAGTCTCTTATTGGTGGACACTAATGATAAAAAAATACATCAAAAGCAAAAATGGAACGACAGAAATATAAGTTCATAGTCTTTAACTCTGGAAAAAGAACATCAGTGGTTGGGACCAAGACCTTAAATCCGGACTAACTAAAAGATTAAAACAGACTATACAAGTGTGGTAATTGAATGGAAACTCACCTGCACCCGTTTATTATGTTCACAAAGATGACCATATTTATTCCAAATATATGACTCAAAATGAGACATAGGTTGATATATCATATCCAAAATGTCACCAACATCATGGAGCATAATTACATCCTCCACCTTCCTCCTGCAACGCATACCAAATCAAATATCAACTTGTAGCAATATAGAAGTCACAAAGTAAATATTTGAATAAATGCTAAATTTACCTCCCAATGTAGTTTAGAATCAAAAAGAATTTCCTGAATTCAAGCTTACTGAGTGCCAGTAACTGTTCACTTATTCCTCGTGTGCTAGCCCCGTCTCTGAATGTAGATGGCCTAGGATCGTAATGATCTCTTTGAAAGCTAGTTGTCACTGGACTCATTGGAGGTGATGGTATTCGTGGAGCTGATGTAGGAGAATCAGATGCATCACCTACTAGGTCTGCAGGCATTGGAAGACCATCATTGGTAAACTAGAATTCTTGAAAGGTCTGAGTACATTACATGTTGTGTTGTTCGGACTCTTCAAAAATGTGTATCGAATACTCCAAAAGTAGTGCATTTTGGAGAATCCAACACGGGTTCAACAGTTTTTGAGAGTCCGAGCAACATAGTTTACATGTAGAGTTGTAAATATGCAAAAAAAAGGAAGAAGAGATCGCAACCAATAAAAAATTTGAACAAGTTCTTCATTAAGCCTAAACTAATTCAAGCTTACTGAGTGCCAGCAACTGTTCACTTATTCCTCGTGTGCTGGCCCTGTCTCTGAATGTAGATGGCCTAGGATCGTAATGATCTCTTTGAAAGCTAGTTGTCACTGGACTCATTGGAGGTGATGGTATTCGTGGAGCTGATGTAGGAGAATCAGATGCATCACCTACTATGTCTGTAAGCATTGGAAGACCATCATTGGTAAACTAGAATTCTTGAAAGGTCTGAGTATGTTTACATGTTGTGTTGTTCAGACTCTTCAAAAGTGTGTATCGAATACTCCAAAAGTAGTGCATTTTGGAGAATCCAACACGGGTTCAACAGTTTTTGAGAGTCCGAGCAACGTAGTTCACATGTAGAGTTGTAAATATGCAAAAAAAAGGAAGAAGAGATCGCAACCAATAAAAAATTTGAACAAGTTCTTCATTAAGCCTAAACTAATTCAAGCTTACTGAGTGCCAGCAACTGTTCACTTATTCCTCGTGTGCTGGCCCTGTCTCTGAATGTAGATGGCCTAGGATCGTAATGATCTCTTTGAAAGCTAGTTGTCACTGGACTCATTGGAGGTGATGGTATTCGTGGAGCTGATGTAGGAGAATCAGATGCATCACCTACTATGTCTGTAAGCATTGGAAGACCATCATTGGTAAACTAGAATTCTTGAAAGGTCTGAGTATGTTTACATGTTGTGTTGTTCAGACTCTTCAAAAGTGTGTATCGAATACTCCAAAAGTAGTGCATTTTGGAGAATCCAACACGGGTTCAACAGTTTTTGAGAGTCCGAGCAACGTAGTTTACATGTAGAGTTGTAAATATGCAAAAAAAAGGAAGAAGAGATCGCAACCAATAAAAAATTTGAACAAGTTCTTCATTAAGCCTAAACTAATGTCCAGATATATACTCAATTTATATGTGAATAAACAATACGGGAATTATTCTTTAGATATTACCTATTGTAAGGACATTTTCATCTTCAGATACTCTTATCCATGTATTCCTAATAAATGTATTACTTATTCCACCTTCTATTCCGTATAAGATAATACATAAATCCTCATATAACTTATACCAATATTAGTTATATAACATTTACTTTCCAGTATTAAAATCTGCATATTTTGTATGAATTTTAATACCAAAATCAACTATGGTATAAAGCAATACTGATTATATATCAAGATTAACTTGGCTTATACCTCAAACCTAATGACCCTTAGTACTTTACAATTAGTGGTTAACTGTGTTTGCTTTTCCTTTCTATCTTTTTGTTACTATCAACATTTGTCTATCAAGTACAATAAATCTGAAGAGATTCTTAGAACAGAGACTTTTGAGTCGAATAGATAGAAGGAGGGGAATTTTTAACCCAAAAAAGAAGGGGCAACTTTAGGATTCCGCACGGAATGATTAATTTCCAGTTAAGCAAAGTGAGTGCATTCTTCTGTCAAACGCTTGTATTTAAGTGGAGAAGTGTATTGGGACATAATTATTATTTTTTATGACAAGAAAAACCTATCGCCGCTAGTACACTCGCTAGTACAGGGTAAAACCCTCGCTCCTATGCAATAGCTCGCAAACCACATAGGAGAGGTAACCCACACTAGGCAAGCCTAGTGCGACGAGCTCGACCCAGAAGGCAAACCCCTTGCTTTCGCTGGCAAGGGGTTTCAAACTTGAGACCTCCAACATGGAAGTCTCAAGCTCAAACCACTGGGCCACCCTGAAGGGTTATTGGGACATAATTATTAGTATTGACTACTGAGAATAATTAAGTATGTAAAACTGAGTTATCTCTAACAACTCAAGCTTTTAGATGAATGATCCCACAATTTGATATGGTATCAAAGTAGGCATAGATTTTTAGTTTGAATCTTATTGCCACCTTATCAAAAAGAATTTCCACATGCTTGATCCATAATAAAGAATCAAGCTCGCACGTGAGGGCAGGGGCGAAGCTAGAGGGGGCAAGGAGGTTTGTCCTAGTCCCCTTCACCAAAAAAGTACATTGTACATATAAAAGGATATAATTGTTTTTTATCCATATGTAGTAGGAGTAGATATTGAGGCTTCTTAGTTTTGTTGTGGATTTACTTCTTTAAATTTTAAATCAATATAATGAAATCATGCCACCATCGTAGAATATGTTGAGAATATAATTAAGTAACTAAAAATATCTCCATAATAACTTAAACTCTTAGATGAGATAATCATACACTTCAATAATGATTCCAAAATTTAAAAGTTGTGATTGGTCGTAAAGGTTTTGACCCCAGAAGAGTTTGTCAAACACTAATAAAAATTCTTCTACCAAACAAGAAACTTACTAATGCTTCCTAGAAGAGCTCTCTTTGTATTATTGACTTTCTAAGTTTATATTCATATAAGGAGAATTATATATGTATCTTTTGGAACTCTTAAATAGGAAATAAACATAAATTACTTAATAAGCTGACTAGAATTTTATGTATTGGAAATATATTTTTATCTTTCCAAACTCTTAAATATAATAAAGTGTATCCCTGTTTTTCTAAGAACAAAAATGTTTATCTTCTTTTTAAATTTCATAAAAATAACGTATTTTAATATATACAAAAATAGAAAAACATGCATGCAAGTTCAACAGTTTATGTATTTTAAGCACACTTAAATTAGTAAAAAAAATTTATCACTTTATCATTACACTGTGCAAGTTTGAAAAAAAAAATAGGAAACTTTACCATTATCCTGAAAAATCGGCCGATTTCTGGGTGAAAAATTGACAGAAGAACAAGAGGAATTCGGAGAAGACAGCGAACTTCTTCGAATCTGAGGCGAATGATAAAAACTTTCAGCAGAAGGAACTGGTTCTTCATAATTTTGCTTCTGATAAAACTGTTGAGTTTCCGATTGATAGTATTTTTTCGCCATGAAAACAATGAATCCACTTAGGGTTTTTTTAATCTGACATTTTGAGATTTCCCTCAAAATACAAAGCGAACGTTCTTCTCCGATTGCTACAAGGAGTCTTCGTACTTTATCATCTGGTGAATTTTGTCTCTCTTTTTTGCAGATTTGGTTAATCATTTGTTGTACTGAATGTGGAAGTTCAACTTCTTCATTGTTGTGAGAGTAAAAATCTCCCATTTTTTGCTGATTGAAGTGAAGAAAACTGGGATTTTTGAGAGAGAAATTGAGGTTTTTGTTGAGGAATGTGTACAGTGGGAAATGTTTTGCCTGCTTAGTTTAAAGTGGAGCTTGGAAAATTACTTTTCAAATTAGTTGGTTTTCCGCCCGATATTCGATATTCGTATTTGATATTTAAATTTTATTTGTATTAAGATTAGACTAACTTGAATTCGGGCATATGTTGGGGGTGAGGTTGGTAATAAAGAAAAAAAGTCATTCTTAAAAGTTCAAACTTAAGACTCAAGTAAGGATACAAAAAAAAAAAAGAGCTTACACAAATTTCATTAATTTAGAAATTAATTACTTAAATACACTTTAATTTGTAATATTATGTATGTTTATCAAATATTGGGTTGTTCAGATACATTGTACGAGGAAATAGAAAGCAGAAAAAAAGTGCAGTTGGAAAGAAATAAAAGTTGAAAAAATCTCAAAAGAAAAAGAAGAAGTGACAATTCAAGATGTGACCATTCAAGATTACAGTGAAAGATCTCATAAATCTTAAGTTTATATATTTTTTTTAAAATCATAATTTAAAAAAAAAAACAAAACAAAATAAAAACTGGCGATGTGAAGAGGTTATTGGTATGATTGTATCGTATTGCAAGAATATTAAAAAATAACTAATTATTATTATTATTTTATAAGAAAATTATGTATGATTGTATCGTATTGCAAGAATATATTAAAGAATAACTAATTATTATTATTATTATTTTATAATAAAATTATATATATTTAAAAGCATGTATTAATATGTAATCGCAATAGAAATATATGATTTTATTAATGTGATGATTCCGTGCACATCATGTATGAGTTATTAATTTTCTAAAAAAGACATGATGTATTTTTTTCTAACTAACTTTAAAATAATATAATAAAAGAAATCAATTTCAATTATATAGTGATATGTTTTACTATGTATTTTAACTTCAAGTCATTTCAAATTTAAGTCAAGATCAATATAGTAATTTCAAAAATGAGTAATAGAATAAATATTAGTTAAGAAATTAATATTAATGATTCAATTTTATATTTCATAAAATTGGCATTGTATAGAAATTATTATTTACTGTGGTTATAAATCTCGTAATCTCCAAAATAATTTCTTATTTAAATCTTTAAAATTAAGAGATAACCTTATATTATTCGAAATGAATTAAATATAGTCTCCATTTAAGTATCTGTCCAATCACACTTTTACTGATTTGCCCATGATTTAGCGGGAAGGACACGTGGCATCACTAGGACAACTCAACCCATCCCAAATTTATAGTTCCGATTTTCTTTTCTATAACTAGGTAATGCACAGTCATAAATAATTGCATTGAACTTGTAAAATAATCCTGAACTAATATTCATACATTAAAAATAATGAAAAAAATAGGTTCTTAAAAAAATATTAGCAATATTTCAACATAAATTTATTTGTCATTATCACATAACTCAAGAACCTCTAATGAATGAATTATTCACGAAATAATAAACTATTGGTTCTTTAATCAACATTAAAAGGAAAATAAAGAAGAAAATAAGAATATATACAAATGCATTTCGTAAGAAAAAAACACATTTAAGTTGCATAGATTATACAATTGGAATATTTGTCTCAGGAAAAAATTCAAAAATTTGTTAACATAATCAAAAAAGAAATTATGTTTGAACATGAAAGCAATTATAACTTTTGAACTTGCATTATAAATTTATTCAATTGATAAGTGAGAAATTTCATATCTATGCAAAAATAGATAATATGTAAGCTTATATATAGTACTTTTAAGTTATAGAAATTTATATAAAATATCAAAACATGAATTCTTGAAATTGAGTACCATAATTATTTTCTGCACAATGAATATACCTACTATATGTGTATATGTTCAATATAACCGAAGACAATAATTTTGCAGAAACATAAACAACAGAGTTTAAAACATGTACTCGAAAACAATATAAGCATAAATTAATGAATGTAAAAAAACATATCAGGATTTGTAACAATAGAATGAAACAGAAAGGAAAAAATCGAGTCCACTGCACAACGTTTCCTTAAGAAAATTATTCTCCTTTAATACCTGAGGTTTAAAGAAACAGATCCTTTCAGGATGGAACAATTTTATTCACCAGTGTATTGATACAAAAACAATGGTGTCAGTGAGTCATTCAACAGGAGCAAGTACACGAATATTTAAGAAGTAGTTCAGATTTTTCGTTGTTTTAAATGAGAGGAAATCCCTCTATCTATAGATAACAAAGGGTAGTGTGAACAAATGTTTATTGTGCCTTATCGGAAAGTTCACAACTCTTTGAAAAAGTCACAACCTTTCGGAAAGGTCACAACATTTCACAAATGTCACAACCTTTCATAAAAGTCGCAACTCTTCATAAAAATCACAATTTTCCATAAAAGTCACAACTTTTCATAAAAGAGGAAAGCTAGTTTTGAAAATAAATAAATTAAAAGGGAATTCTAGTTTGTGATGGCACCACGTAGACGGGCTTAGGATTCTCTTTATATATATGATATGATATATGATATTTATCTAGATTATATATAAATATTTTTAAAATAATATTCTTTGTTTATGTATTAAATATAAAAGAATAAATAAGAAATTCACTTATTTATTTATTTTTAAAAAATGTTTTCCTTCATACACACCTTTAGAGGTTGTTTGGTAACTGAATAAAAAATAAGTTATTCATGTATTAAATTTTGTATAACTTATACGATGTTTGGTATGTAGCTAAGAAATAAGTTATTCATATATAAAATTAATATGATATTTGATTGATAATTTAGAAACTCGTATAACTAATACATGTACAAGTTATGAGAAATATGTGTATTATTTTTATAGAATAGAAAGTGGAATAATTAATACCTACTATAAAATAATACATACATTTTCCTATAATAAATCTCTACATTATTAATACCCGTATAATTTTAACCAACTATCAAACGAGGTCATAACCCTTTTTGGCCTTAACAGTGGTCCGTGTGGTATAGTTTGACTAGTTTTGCATACTATAAGGACTATTAAATACTCTATCTAATAGAATAAGGATGATTATCATTTTCTTTTAGGGCCCGTTTTGCTATGCGATATGGTATCATGATATGAAATTATGAGATGAAATTAAAGGTTTGTTTGGACATGCGATATGAAATTTTTGTGTTGTATATTTTCTCATAAACATAAAAATCTCATAAGTTGTAAAACTATTAAAATAGCCCCAATTGTTTATTTAATCTTATCAAATAAACAAAAATTATAAAATCGCATAATAAATAATTACAAAGTTATTTGTTCTTCACTTAAATAATTGTTTCATCTAACTTTAATTTAATTTAAAAAATTGAACATAAATTGTACTTGATATGCTCATATCTCTCAACTACTCTTACAAATAACCTATAAAGTAGAAAAAAAATGCACACATTAGTGAGTAAATATTAACTTAGAAGTCAAATGTACTAAGATAAAAATTAACAAACATCACTAACTTCTAACTATTTACAAGAAAAATCAATAGTTAAATATTATTGAATAACGAAATTTTAAAAAGTTACCACAAGTTTAAGTCAAAAACACTTCTAATAAAATTTAATCAAAAAAATTATAACTAGTCCACTTGACTAAATATTAATAACTAATTGATCAAATTTTCCCAAGTCCTCAATCAATTGGACTTGATATCCTTCAGTCATGTGAACGAACATTTTGCAAATACTAAGATTAAGAAAGTGCGGCACCGCCAATGAAAATTGTCTTTTATCAATATTATGCTTAGTCATAAGATTAAGACGTTTTTTTTTATTATGAAAAATCAAAAAAGTATTACTCCCTTCGTTCTCATTTATATTCACCAAATGAATTTCTACTTTATCATTTATATTTACCAAATTTAAAGTAATAATAAATTTTATATTTGTGAGAATAATAAATTTTAAAAAGTAATGATGTGATTATAAATTTTATTTACATATGAAACAAATGGTTAGTAGATATAAATGTGGGGTTGTTTTAACAAAATATAAACTCATGGATCAATTATTGTATTAAAATAACTCAATTCATGATATGGAATCACATGGTGATTCCATATCATGGTTTTTGAAGAATATGGTATCACCTCTCATGATATGGAATCATGAGATGGAATCAGCGTAAAATCACATGTCCAAACGCTGATTCCATCTCACGACACCATATCGTGATATGGTATCGCATGGCCAAACACCTACTTAGTTTCTCTCTTGATGTTCAAAGTCCACATTGGAGCTCCGACTAAATTCAGATCATGCATTATAGGGACTTATTTGGGGTCATTTCCAAACAAAAGGGACTATATTTTGGGCCTTTTCTCACTAATATTAGTCTAGGGGAGTTCATGGGTCAATTGGATTGGTCAAAATCAAAACCAAATCAAATTAATCAATTTTAAAATTAGCAAATCAAACCAAACCAAATAGAATATACATTGATCGGTTTGGTTGTTATCGATTTCGATTTGGTTTGGTTCGATTATTAATCATACACAAAAATAAAAGAAACAATTCATTCAAAATGTGAAAAGTGACAACAATTCATTCTAAACGATTTTTTTTTTTAAAATGACTGACGTCAAAACTTTCGATCATTGAAATTACTATGAATAAAGCTTTAAAATTCGCTATTTTACCCCTAGAAGGAAGAGATAGTGACATCTTCGGTCTCACAAAGAATTGTCATAAACACTTATATACATGAAACCAATAAGAATGTTCTCACCTTAGACATTTTTGCTTTCATAAGTAAATTATAAACTAATTTTTGATGAAAACATATATAAGATCTTTAAAATTATTTATAAAATTAATATATTATGTATGTATAATAATAAAATATATGTATATAATTTGTCGGTTCAGTTCGGTCATTTCTTTGATTTTTTCGAATAAAATCATAACCAAACCAAATACTATCAGTTTCAAAAATCTAAAACCAAACCAAACCCAAATAAAACCGATCTATTTAATCAATTTGGTTCAATTTTTTCGATTTGAATCATTTTTTATCCAAACCATAAACACCACTAAATATAACAATATGATGATGAAAATAATCAAACCATCATTATCAATTCCCTTTCCCTCCCTTCCATTTTTCCACTTTTCATCAATGAAGCCATTAATGCCTTAACCTAAATTCAAATCCAATCAATTGAGCACTACCATGTTTTTTTTTGGTCATTTATAAGAGGGACATTGACACTTTTAGTCCCTCAAGTATTACAAATTTTTATTATTACCCTTGTAATTTTTACTAAGCATTATGAGCCTTCAACTAATTGATACATGCACTTTTGATCCCTCAAATTGCAAATCTTCACAAATTTAATGAATTATCAAGTGTTAAACCATTTAATGATTAATATATTATGTCAAATTTGTATTGCTGCTTCATTTTTTAGGTGATATAGTTCTAAAAATACTTTAAATATCACCTAAAGTTGCTTGGACTTGGGTGCGGGTATCCAATACGAGTGGAGATCCTCTATAATTTAAATTTTAAGATTCGGAGATAAGGATTTATGTATGGATGTGGGTGCGGGGATTTAGTTAAAATAATTCAAATATCTAAAAATAGAGTTATAAAACCTAAATTATGAGATATTATGTGGGAAACTTGAGGAGAATATTGATCAAGAGAAGAATCCGGGAAGGAGATAAAAAAAAAAAGGGAATGACAATAAAAATTTATATAGACAATCTATTCTATTTTCTTCAATTTCCCCATAGTTTTTGTTTTGATTATAGACATCATTGAATATGTTCAGAATTTCTCCTCGAATTTGGTCAAATTACACAAAATCGGTTGACCAGATCAGGTATGAATCCCACACTCACACCCACATCATATCGACGCAAAAGTGAAGAGTCCAAACAACTTAGAATATCACATATTCCATATGTCAAGAGACCAAAAAACACAAATTTTAGTTAACTAAAGGTTAAAGACCTTATTTGAATGAATTTATAAGTTATAACTTGTGAATTATAAATTAATTGACTCTGATTTAACTATATATTTGGTTTTTTAATATGTAGCAATCACTAATAAAATAAAATATATTACCTATTATTACTTTCTACTACTAGTTTAAACAAACAAAACTCAGCAAGCTAGACATGCATCATGAAAGACAAGTTGAGAATTGATCATACTTACACAATTTAATGTAGGGATTAAGAATCCTTACCTTCCACACCTCCATGATAGATTAATCATTAATGGGGTTATCTACCTGATTTGACAATCAAATGCATAGCTAATCCTTCAATGAATATAAGGATTTCTTAATTTATTTATTTTTTTAATAATTGTAGTGTCCGAGCAAGCTTGCACCATCACAAATATTAGGTAACTTTATCCATAAAGGCTTGGACAAACGAAATAAAAAACCACCTAGTTTTTTTTGCCTCATTTGAGATTTAAACCTGAATTATGATTCCCAACCTATTTTATTGTCGACCAGGTCAAGCCCTTGGGTGCAAAAGAAGGATACTATTAATGCCTCTCATCTTCTTACAACCAAATGTGACATTCCATAATTGAGAATACATCAAAATCCACATATGGAGAAGTTATACCTTTTGGTTTTAACCTTCATAACAGTTTGGTTGAATTCAGTCAAGGGATTTACAAACATAGAAACAGATGAATCTGCACTTATTGCCTTTAGAGCATATATAACTTCAGACCATGATCATATCTTGTCCAAAAACTGGACGCCATCCAGTAACAAATCCTCTATCTGTTACTGGATCGGCGTCTTTTGTAGTGGAGAAAACGAAAATCAAAGAGTAACATCTTTAAATGTCTCAGGATTCAGACTTTCAGGCACAATTGCTCCTGATTTAGGAAACTTGACATTTCTAACATCATTAGACATCAGTAACAACAACTTCAGTGGCTCGATGCCTAATGAGTTAGGTAATCTACAACGATTACAAGAGATAAACGTAGGACTCAACAATTTAAGCGGAGACATTCCAAGCAGGTTTGGAAACTTACCACAGCTCAAGAGCATTTTTATGAACAATAACACGTTTAGTGGTCCTATTCCACCGGTTTTAGGCAACAACACAAAGCTGAAGAGATTGGTACAGTCATACAATTTGTTACATGGAAACATACCTCAAGAGATAGGAAACCTTTCCATGCTGATAATAGTTGACTTTAAGTATAATGTGCTTACAGGATCTATACCATCTGAATTATTCAACATCTCATTGTTGCAAAGCATCGATCTCACTGGTAATAGTCTAACAGGTGGACTAGCACCGGATATCTGCAGTAATCATCGTCTTGTTGAGCTTCAAGGAATATTTTTATCCGCGAATCAGCTTCATGGACTGATCCCATCGACGTTTCATCTTTGCAAGGAACTCCAGGATTTATCCTTGTCCTACAATCAATTTAGTGGAAAAATCCCAGATGAAATTGGATATATAACCAAGCTCAAGATATTATATCTGGGGATAAACAATTTCATAGGTATCATATTATATTTATTCAAGTTATATAGTAGTCAGCACTCTTATAATATTGCTAGTGTAGTTAGTGATTATAAGAGAAGTCAAGTTCTATAATTTTTACATAGAAAGATGACTGTTGGAATTGCATGTTTAAAGAATTATGTTTCTCCGAATAGTTGTGTTTTAACAGATATCTAGTAGGGGCAGAGCTAGGAAGGGCAAAACTATATATAGCAATGTTGGAACCTTTGGCTTCTTCATGTGTTTACTTCTTCATATTTTGAACCCCCTTAGTGAAAATAGGATCGGGGTTTAAATTCCTTAATGAAAGAGATTTCAGTCAAAACCATCAGTTTTCTGTTTCTCACAAGTTTATCTTCCCAACATATATGTATAGCAACTTCAACTTATCGAGGACATGACCTTAGATAAGAGGTTGTGGAGTACATGGATTAGAGTAGAAGGTTAGTAGGTAGGAGTGCATTGTCTTGATGTCAGTCCATACTAGTAGTCGTAGTATTACTATTTTAGTTTCTTCTCCTCAATTTATGTGACTATCTGTTGTTTATTGTACTTCAACTATCGTAATAGTATTTTGTTGTAGTACTGTTTTGTTACTATCTGATGTTTTTTGTACTTCCGTTACTTATTTTTCTGGACTACTGCTGTCTGCTTTGGACTGTTTTTTCTTGAGTCGAGAGTATATCGGAAACAACCTATCTACCTCTGAGATAGGAGTAAGGTCTGCGTATACTCTACCTTCCCTAGACCCTACTTTGTGGAACTACACTAGGTATGTTGTTGTTGTTGTATATGTATAGCAACTAAATAAGAGTTAAGTGAGTTTAAATCAACAAGAAATTCCTACTTACTACACCAATCGATCGAGGTGTTTTGCTATCTATATTTATCTAGCTTTGACAATCTTTTTGCAGGTGGAATTCCTGAAAATTTAGGCAATCTTACATATTTGGAGATGCTAAGCCTAAGAGGTGGTTCACTAACAGGTCAAATTCCACACACTCTATTCAACATGTCCAGCTTAAAGCAACTCGATCTTTTGAACAATAGCTTGTCCAGAAGCCTACCATCCGTGAGCAGTCAATGTAATCTTCCTCACATAACTGGTGAAATCCCAGCAAACACATTCAGATGCAAATGCCTTCAAGTCATACAATTAGCAGACAATATGCTTACAGGCAGCATTTCTAAAGATATTCGGAACTTTACTTTCCTTCAGAATCTATATTTAGCAGACAACAACTTCACAGGTACGCAACGCCAAATTGTTATTGCCCTTGTAGTTTCTATTTATAGACATCAAAGTCCTAACTTTACCACATTAGATATTTCTACCTCATACTTTAACGACGACATGTAGCTTGTCTCAATGCACGTGTAAATTACATACATGGTATCAGTTATAGTATATATTACATTCCTAATTCATTTGATACTTTGTCAGGGAGATTACCAGCTGATATAGGTAGCATAAATCTGAAGGAACTTAATGTCGATGGAAATCACTTGTCAGGTGTCATTCCATCTGAAGTATTCAACATATCGACGTTGCAGATTCTAGACTTAAGCAGGAACCGGCTCACAGGAACTCTTCCCTCAGGCTTGGGCCATCAGTTTCCAAATCTGCAAGAGCTTTATTTAGGTGAGAATGAACTTACAGGATCAATCCCAAGTTCTATCTCAAATGCTTCACAACTTGCTATTATATCCATGACCTTCAACTCTTTCACTGGCTCGATACCTGACCTTGGCAATTTAAGACTTTTGAAGAGGCTATTTCTAGCAGAGAATAATCTTACAGGGGAAACTTCCAAAGGAGAATTAAAATTCCTGTCCTATTTAACTAATTGTAGACATTTGGAAAAGATAGAAGTGTCCTTAAATCAGTTAAATGGTGACCTTCCAACTTCATTAAGGAATCTCTCTTCTAGCCTTCAAATTTTCTCAGCATTTGGAAGCAAAATCAAGGGGACTTTACCTGTCGGAGTTGGAAACTTGACAAGCTTGACCGGTATGTACTTGGATAGCAATGAGTTGACTGGAGTTATCCCAAATACAATTGGAAAGTTAAAAAATCTCGAACGTATATATCTGAAATACAACAGACTGGAAGGGTATATCCCAACTGATATTTGCCAGTTAAGTAAGCTGAGGGATATCTACATAAGTCACAACATGATCCGTGGAGCCATACCAGCATGTTTTGGTGAACTCAAATCACTACAGAGAGTTTTCTTGGATTCAAACAATTTGACATCTACCATTCCATTGAACTTTTGGAACCTGAATGACCTTGTAGGTTTGAACTTATCCACAAACTCTTTCAAAGGCTATTTACCATCAGAGATCTCTAATCTGAAGGTTGCAACAGACGTAGACTTATCGTGGAATCAATTTTCAGGAGATATCCCCAGCAGAATAGGCAGTGCCCAATAAATAGTTTACCTTTCTTTGGCACATAATAGATTGCAAGGTCCTATTCCTGAATCTTTGAGTAACTTGATAAGCTTAGAGACATTAGATTTGTCGTCCAACAATTTGTCCGGAATGATTCCAAAGTCTCTCGAGGCATTGAGGTATCTCCGACACTTCAATGTCTCTGTGAATGAATTGGAAGGGGAAATTTCATCAGGTGGATGTTTTTCAAATTTCAGTGCTGAATCTTTTAGGCAAAATCATGAGCTATGTGGAGTAGCTCGGCTGCATGTTCTTCCCTGCCGGACAAAACATTCCAAGTCAAAAAGTGTTTCATCTTTGATTAAATATGTTGTTCCCCCTCTCTTGCCAACAATTCTCATGGTGACTGTTGTACTTATATTGATAAGAAAACGGAACCAATACGTAAAGATAAAAATGGAGGAATCACAGCTTGCTGCAATTCTCACCTATTGCATACTTGAGAAATGTTTCATATCTTGAACTTGTACGAGCAACAAATTCTTTTTCTGAATCCAATCTACTAGGAAAGGGAAGTTACTGTTCAGTTTATCGAGGGGAACTTAACGATGGAACAGATGTAGCTGTAAAAGTTTTTAACACACTGACAGAAGAAGCAACCAAGAGTTTCTATGCTGAATGTAAGATATTGAGCAACATCCGTCACCGGAACCTTACAAAAATCCTCAGTTGTTGTAGTACCACAGACTTCAAAGCTCTTGTATTAGATTACATGCCAAATGGTAATCTTGAGAGGTGGTTATATTCCCAAGATTGTTGTTTAAGTATGCTTCAGAGATTGAACATAGCAATAGATATTGCTTCAGCTTTAGAATATCTTCATTGTGGTCTAACAACTCCTATTGTACACTGTGACATGAAGCCTAACAATATCTTATTAGATGAAGATATGACTGCACATCTTTGCGATTTCGGGATCGCAAAAATTTTTGAGCAAGACATGCATATGGCTCAAACCAAGACACTAGCCACCATTGGTTATATGGCACCAGGTGAAACTAAATCCAAATCCTTCTTATTCTGCTGTCTTTAGTAGTAAATCATTTTTTTGGTACTTTGAAACATACTAACTAGCAAAAATCATTCATAAGCTACATTGCTTGAATCTGTCAGGAGCAAGAACTCCATTTCATTGATCACATATCCCCATATTACCAAATTCTTTTCATGTCTATGACCTTTATTCGCCAGAAAATCTACACGTTTATCCACTTTCTTCATTCATCTCTTAAAGTTTTTCCGAAAACAGCATCTCCGGTTTGGATCTTCACACTACCATTAGTATATAGCTTAATTTTTCTTGCACAAGGAGGACCAAGCAATTAGTTTGACTTGTTTGGATATAGAGGTTTTGCATAGGGAATACTTGGACAATTTCCATAGTGTAATTTATAATGTGTTTAGATATACATTTATTTCTAGTACTCCCTCTATTATAATTTGTTTGTCGTATTTTCCTTTTAGTCCGTCTCATAAGACCACAAAACATGTTTAAGATCACAAGATTAAAAGATATTTTGATACATTCTAAGGTTTTCTTCACTTTCTTAATTGAAATCCATGTCAAGTCAAAACCAGACAAACAAATTGAAACACGGGGAGTGTAATATAAACTAGATCTTATGCTATATATTTTTCTTAAATTGTAATGTCATTGCAGAGTATGGAACTCATGGGATAGTTTCAACAAGTGGAGATATCTACACAGCTATGGCATTATATTGTTGGAAATGTTTACAGGAAAAAAACCAACTGATGATATGTTCGGGGAAACAATGAACTTGAAATGTTTCGTGGGCGAAAGCTTACGTAGAAAATCTTTAATGGAAGTTCTGGATTCTGATTTGATTAGAGATGTTGAACAGTTCTCTGAAGTAGTACAACAGTTTGTGTCATCTATCTTTTGTTTGGGATTGGAATGTCTGAAAGATTGTCCTGAAGACAGAATGAGCATTAGTAATATTGTGGATAGCCTTAGAAAAGCTAAAATTGAATATTTAGCAATTAGAGGAAAGGCAGAAAAGGTGGTGTAAATTTTCTGATTGTGAAAAATGTTGTAAATATTTTGTTTTGTTTTGTATTAGTTTTTTACAATCTTTGGGAGCTCTTGTCAAATCTGTTTCTGAAAATGCTTTTTCTTGGGCCGAACGACTGTTGAAAATAGTCTCTCTACCTCACACAAGATATAGTGGAAAGGTTTGTGTATTTGATTTCCTTTTGGACCACATAAGAATTCATCGTCCGATTGAATATTCCTTTTTTCTCGATGCTCTATTGGAAAGGTTTATGTATTTGAATTCCTTGGACCATGTAAGAATTCATCGTCCGATTGAATATGTTTTTTTTCCTCGATGCTCTATTGGAAAGGTTTGTGTATTTCATTTCCTTGGACCACATAAGAATTCATCCTCTGATTGCTATTCCTTTCCTCAACAATCTCTCTACCTCACAAGGTAAGCCGTAAGGTCTGAATACATTCCAATCTCTCCATGAAAAGAAGTCTTGCTGAGTTCCTCTTTTCCTGTTATTGAACTTGTCCAATATCTACTTTAAAACCCGACTAATTTCTTGCAAGAAAGTTCCACTTTGGAAGTAAAACACTTTTTACCAAAGAGGTGTATTCATGACTCGAACCCGAAATCTCTAATTAATAAGTTCTTCTGTCATGAAGAGATTATTGTGGACTTCTGCAGTAGAATTCATCTAATGAGAATCCTATATAAACCACAAGCACACCTTTCCTAATAATAAAAAAGGTAAAAACTTTTAGAATGAAAAAAACTGTAATCATAGTTATTAAAGAATATACCCTTCCACAAAATTACTAAGAGCCCGTTTGGCCATGCGATATGGTATCATGATATGGAATCATGATATAGTATCATGATATGGAATCATGAGATGAAATTGAAGGTTTGTTTGGACATGCGATATGGAATTTTTGTGTTATATATTTTCTCATAAACATAAAAATCCATAAGTTGTAAAACTATTAAAATAGCCCCAATTGTTTATTCAATCTTATCAAATAAACAAAAAATTATACAATCGCATAATAAATTATTACAAAGTTATTTGTTCTCCACTTAAGTAATTGTTTCATCTAACTTTAATTTAATAAAAAAAATTGAACATAAATTGTACTTGATATGCTCATATCTCTCAACTACTCTTAGCTAGCGTTTGGCCATAGATTTCTAAATATTCTTGGCAAATATTATTTTGGTGAAAATTTGGGTGAAATTTCACCATGTGTTTGGCCATAGTATTTGGGAAATATATTTCACTTTTTTAGAAAAATATGATTTATACCCATAAGTTTTAAAAATTATCAAAACTAACCATAAGTTTGTATTACAAGTCAATTGAATTTTCATTGCAACAATAACAAATAGTGTCCATGACACTAGAGCAATGTGGTAGTTTGGAGTGAGTGCAACAAGCAACATTCCATACATCGTGAAGTAGACAAATCACATGACTTTGTTACCCTGAGCCGATTGTTCATCATTTTCATCAACAACCATATCATCATTTAATATTCACTGAATATTTTATCACTACTTTGGTGTTCACGTGAAAAATTATGTAATATGACACAAGCAACTACTATAGAGGGTGTTTTTGTAAAAGATAAAAATTTGGGGTAACATTTCAATTTTCACAAGATCCCAAATAATGAGATTTGGCCCAAATACTAGAAAAAACTAGTATTTGGGAATTTGGGATATTTGCCAAAAATATTTGCCAAATAATGGCAAATTGTATGGACAAACACTATTTGCCAAAAAATTTCCCAAATATTATTTGGGAAATCTATGGCCAAACGGGTTACAAATAACCTATAAAGTAGAACCTATAAAGTAGAAAAAAAACATACATTAGTGAGTAAATATTAACTTAGAAGTTAAATACACTAAGATAAAATTAACAAACATCACTGACTTCTAACTATTTACTAGAAAAATCAATAGTTAAATATTATAGAATAACGAAATTTTAAAAAGTTACCACAAGTTTGAGTAAAAAACACTTCTAATAAAATTTAATCAAAAAAATTATAACTAGCTTGACTAAATATTAATAACTAATTGTTCAAATTTTTCCCAAGTCCTCAATCCATTGGACTTGATATTCTTCAGTCATGTGAACGAACATTTTGCGAATACTAAGATTAAGAAAGTGCGGCACCACCAATGAAAATTGTCTTTTATCAATATTATATGCTTAGTCATAAGATTAAGACCTTTTTTTTTATTATGGAAAATCAAAAAAGTATTACTCCCTTCGTTCTTATTTATATTCACCAAATGAATTTCTACTTTATCATTTATATTCACCAAATTTAAAGTAATAATAAATTCTATATTGGTGAGATTAATAAATTTTAAAAAGTAATGATGTGATTATAAATTTTATTTACTTATGAAACAAATGGTTAGTAGATATAAATGTGGGATTGTTTTAACAAATATAAACTCATGGATCAATTATTGTATTAAAATATCTCAAATCATGATATAGAATCACCATATAATTCCATATCATGATTTTTGGAAAATATGGTATCACCTCTCATGATATGGAATCAGCATAAAATCGCATGTCCAAACGCTGATTCCATCTCACAACACCATATTGTGATATGGTATCGCATGGCCAAACGCCTACTATGTATATAGTATATACATTCATAGCAATTACTGAAATCATTTCCCTTACAAGTTAAAAGACAATCTCTGGATTAAGTATTTGATAGCTTACACCAAGTGTTCATGTACACACAATTCCAATCAATGGAGTAATCATTTTTGTCAGATATGTTGAGTTTGTTGCTTCCCAAATCCCCCCCCCCCCCCCCACCCCCCACCCAAACCAAAAAAAAAGAAAGAATGAGCGTGTTTGTATTTACTCGATAATCTCCCCGTCAGTTCCAGCTCCTACTTACAGTTTCTTTCCATTTTCTGATTCGTCGTAACATGTTGACATTCAGTTACTGGAGAAGAATCAGTTGAAATCTGCCTAGACTTTGTTGATGTTCAAGTTGTTTTTTTGATGGACTCATCAGACAGCAGTTACAGTATAAATCATACTATCTTCCAAATTGCGCTGAAAGCAAACCAAATGCAATATTCCTGTTCAAACATTTTGTGATTCTGCAATACTACGGGTGCTTAAATGAGATTGCTTTATCGAGCAACTCAGCAGATAAGAGAGAACCTGAATGGTCCTCTAGCAGGAAGGCTCATGGTAAGGTTTGGTTGACGAGCCCCATTGATATTGCAACTTCTTTGGATGCAAAAGTATCAGCTTGTTCCTGCAATGTCACAGAAGCGATAAAATAAAACATAATTAGATCATTATTTGTTTCAATGTCTTTACACTATCATTGAAAATAATAAATACTAGAGCTGGTGTCTCTCTGCTGAGATATTTATTTATGGACTACATGAATTCTAAAAATCAGTAAAACATAAAATGGGCATCCGAACGTACATGCACTTGTGCCTATATGAGAATACAGAACATCATCCCACAAATAAAGATATTTTATGTACAATTTCAAAACAGTCTAAAATTCACGGGACAGGAAAAGCTTTATTGACGTATACCTTTTTTACATATGTTACAAATGGAAAACAAAGGTGCAGACTCTATCAGTGTTATGACAAAGTAAATGGTAAGAGAAGTGGATTAAGAGATGTGTCATAGTCATACAATACCAACAACTACACCTCAATCCCAAGCAGCTCTGGGGTCGACTATATGAAAACTTTATATCCATTTCGCTCCATTTAGGCCAGTCTCGTTTCAAAACTGTGGTTCTCAAAATGTAGAGGTAACCTGAACGTTTTAGTGACAAAAGAATATCTGGACAAACTCAAAAAACTTCCAAAAAAACACACTAGACGTGATTGTAAATCCAACTAAGCCTAAATTCCAACTAGTAGGGATCACATATATGAACTTTTTTGCTATTATTGAGTTCTATTATTTGCTATGTCTGTATGGATTTTGAGAGATTCTAAATATTTTAATAAAACTTCCTTCCATGTAATCATGAGGCCTATCTTATTCTTTTTTAACACCTTCAATCAGCTAAGTTTCATCAATTAACATAATATCATCCACAGAAATCCTTTATCAAAAAGAAACAAAAAATCATCCACAGAAACTATGCATCATGGAGCCTCATTAGCTAGACACTCAATTACCAAACTTGGGCGGAAGCTCAAAAAATCATACCTGAAGGCGATGCAAGAGATACATCAAGAACAAATGGACAAACACCTGTCAACAGTACCATATACCTCATTAAATAGAAGGTACAATTTTACATCAATTCACTTTAAACATTCAACAGACACTAAGGTTTTTCCAGAGTAAATGATCTGTTCTAACCAGATAAAAAAGCAAGACAACTCGAGCAGTTGGATATCGCCAGAGAAATCGTGTTGCCCTGACAGCCCCGGAATCCAGAAGCTTCGCGGCCTTCTGTAACTGCACAGCAAAGTTTAAGTCATATGCAAAAATAGTACAAATATATGGCTCTCTTTCCAGTTAAGTACAAAACTTGTACTCTTTTTTTTTCATGCTTCTTTTTACCCCCTAGTGTGAGGATGTGGATGTGGATATGGAAAAATAGGAAAGAGCTTACCTGTATCGTCGCCCTAGTCATGTGTCGGTGATGTAAAGGGAGAGGCCTGTAATGTTAAATTGTTTCAGAAAAGCACGTCATGCTCAGAGGAACTTGAAAACTGGGAGGCTTCCTTTATTTTCCGATAAATAAAACTTTGAAGGCTCACTGAACAGCCTAATGAATTCTGATCACGTGTTACAACGGCTTATAAACTGATTCCCTCCATCCCAAATTTGTGTGGCACGACTGGAATTTCGAGAGTTAACCAAGTTTTTCTTTATATGCCTTTCAAATATTTTAAGTTGTTAATTATTGTGATTTATAGTACTTTTAACGTAGTTTCAAATATATAACTTTTATTTCAAAAACTTAAAGCTTCTATGTCTGAATTCA